AAAAAAAAAAAAAGATGAATATTAAGCTGGATCTTTAAGAATGAGTGGGAGTTCACCAGGCGGAAAGGGAGGTCCCGCAGAGGCAACAGCCCGTCCCGGGACAGGGGTAGGGGTGACCTGGGAAGGAGGGCATGCTCTTCCCTTGCTCCCACCGCTATGCTGGCACATGTCAAATCAAACGTAGCTTATCAGCCAACCAGAGGTCTCCGTGCCTGGACTGTGAGATGCTATAGGATGTGAACAGTGTCACTCATCTTCCACAGCCCACTGCCTCACCCAGTGCCAATAATTGTGGGGTTTTTTTGTTTTTTTTTTTTTAAATAGAGTCTCACTCTGTCTCCCAGGCTGGAGTGCAGCGGTGCAATCTTAGCTGGCTGCAACCTCTGCTTCCCAAGTTCAAGCAATTCTTCCGCAGCCTCCCAAGCAGCTGGGACTATAGGCGCATGCCACCACGCCCAGCTAATTTTTGTATTTTTAGTAGAGACAGGGTTTCACCATGTTGGCCAGGATGGTCTCGATCTCTTGACCTTGTGATCTGCCCACCTCGGCCTCCCAAAGGGCTGGGATTATAGGCGTGAGCCACCGCATCCAGCCCCCCAGTGCCAATCGTTGTAACAGTAGCAATCTTGGTCAGCAGGTAGTAAATACTGACCATCATACCTTGTGCTAAGTGTTCCAGGGCATCATCTCATTTCCGCCTCAAACTCTGGAAAGAAGTGCTAGTATTACTCCTGTTTTACAGACAAGGATTCTCAAGAGGAGTTCATAATATGCCTACGGTCACACAGCTATTTAGTAGTGGAGCCAGAAATGGAATCCAGGACTCTCTGACCACAGAGCCCTTGTTCTAGACTGATGAGTGGATAGATGGATGAATGGATGGGAGGATAGGTGAGAGGAAGAACTCAACGAAGGACCATGATCGCCACGCTGGGGAGCTTGAATTCACTCAAGGGCAGTGGGGAGACGCTGGAAGGTTGTGAGCAGGAGAGACAGGTCAGTTTAGGGATTTAGAAAGATCACTTTGACAACAGGGGAAAGATCATTTAGAGCCAATGATGCTTGAAACCTGCAGCCATCCTTCTGGCAAATCCCAATTCCCACTTGTGGGGAGGCTCATTCCTTTAAGTACTGTGTTATTCCTCTTAGAGCAAGACATGTGTTCTTATGCACACACAGGGACTATTGATGGAGAATGCTGGAGAGGAGGGGCTCAAAGACAGGAAAAGGAGACAGGAGGGGACACTGCTAATATCCAGGGAGAGGCCTCTCTGTATAGGGAAGCAGAGCACCAGGAAGGGAGAAGCTGTACGGCCCCCTCCCTATTTCCAAGATGAGAAGGTCCCCTCGGGATTTCCAGCCTGGAAGCTGCAAGCCTCAGGTCCCACACACTGCCCCACTGTGCACCTGCCACCAGGGAAACGCAGCCGAAGGTGAGGTAGGTGTTGCATCAGAGTGTTAAGCCCTGGGATCAAATATTAGGGGTGGCAGTGGAGGAGGTCTGATCCCTCCTCCTGAGCAGCTCCTAACATCATTGGCCTTTCCAGCCAGGGAGGGAGGGGAGTCACAGAAACCTGCCTGGGGATCAGTTAAAGCTGAAGGAAGGAAGCAGGAATAGGACCTGAAAGCAGGGTGCGTTTCCCCTACCTACACTCAAACAGCCAAAGAACGGACCAAAGCCCACAGGAGGCAGGCATCTTCAGGCTGAGAGGGGCTCCCAGAGGGTTCTGGGGCAGAGCGGGCTCACTATGCTGCCTTGCCTGGCCCTGCTTCTCCTGATGGAGCTGTTCGTGTGCACTGTGGCAGGTGATGGTGGAGAGGAACAGGCACTCAGCACTGAAGCAGAGACCTGGATAACCGTGGCCTTAGAGGTACCTTTGGGGAGAGGCTCTGACCAGGGCAGGGGATGACGGATGGTGGAGGGGCAGAAGATCCCATGTGTCGCTGCCAGAACAGGCTGTGCCCTGCAAGGCAGGTTGCCCGACTCTCTTCCGTGAGTAGATTCAAGGCTATGAGCCCTGGCCTGGCAGACCTCCAAAGTGTGTGTGTGTGTGTGTGTGTGTGTGTGTGTGTGAGAGAGACAGTGTGTGTGTGGGGGGTGTGTGTGTGTGTGTGTGTGTGTGTGGTATTCAAGAAATACTTATTTAACTCACGGTATATTTCTGGCACTGTCTGAAATACTTTCTAAATATTAACTCAATCCTCCCATTAACCTCATGGGGAAGATATCATAATTACCCCCATTTCACAGATAGGGAAACTGAGGCACAGAGAAGTAGTTTGTCCAAGGTTGCACAGCTTCAAAAGCACAACTACACACCTTGCCGAAGGTCTGATTCTGTGTATTTGTGCATCTGAGGAGCCTTTCCAGAATTTCAAGAGGATCAGCTTAAACAAGACCACCATTTGGTCTCACATGTAGGAATGACCAGCATCCGCAGTACCCCTACTCCTGCCTGACAATATGATTGAGGAAGCAAAGATCCTGACCTCAGGGATTCCCTAATCAGACAAGGGAGAGAGGCCAACAAACCAGAGACAAAGGCGGACAAATAAGAGGCCAGTGCTCATGGAGGGCTTCTAGGGGACAGGCAGGACAAGACTGGGCCTGGCTCCTCCCATTTCCAGGATGGTGAGGACACTGGGTTGGCCTTGGCTTTCGGCCCTGGGCCATGGTGAGGTCCTTGGAAGCACTTAGAAATGGGGCCACAGGGGCTGGACGCAGTGGCTCACACCTATAATCCCAGGACTTTGGGAGGCCAAGGTGGACGGATCACCTGAGGTTGGGAGTTTGAGACCAGCCTGACCAACATGGAGAAAACTCGTCTCTACTAAAAATACAAAATTATCTAGGTGTGGTGGTGCACGCCTGTAATCCCAGCTACTCGGGAGGCTGAAACAGGAGAACTGATTGAACCTGGGAAGCAGAGGTTGCAGTGAGCCGAGATCGCACCAATTGCACTCCAGCCTGAGCAACAAGAGCAAAACTCTGTCTCAAAAGAATGAATAAATAAACAAATAAATAAATGGGGCCCCAGGAAGAGCCATCGAATGGACAGTCCTGCATGGTGGGTTTCCTCTCTGGTCTGTCTGAACCTGGCAGTGTGTGCAGTGAGGAGAAGGCAGCAGGGCTGGGAGCGTCTCCACTGACGCCCGCTGCTTTCCGGAAACGGAGGAGGGAAGTGACCCCTGCAAGGCTTTCCTCCAACTTTGACAAGCTTTATAGAGTCAGTGCCAAACATCAGGTACCTTGTCTAGAGACAGAAGCCTTGCTGGGTGATGCAGCCTCACGATGCAGCCCCGTGGGAAACTAGCACTGCTGGACGGCCTCCCAAAATCACCTCCTCCTGCAGCTGGGTCTAATCCGTATTCTCCTTTCACTCTCCTTTAATATCGTATCCCTCTGCTTCCCAAGACACAGGGCTTGGAGTATGAGAGGAAAGCCTGGGTTAGAATTCAGGAAGAACTTAGGAACACTGTGGCTTGCTAAGCATAATATAAGTGATGGCCAGCTGTGGAGTTTCGTGCCTGTAATCCCAGCACTTTGGGAGGCTGAGGCAGGAGGACTACTGGAGGCCAGGAGTTCAAGATCAGCCTGGGCAACATAGAGAAACCCCATCTCTACAAAAAATAAACAAAATTAGACAGGCATGGTGGTGCACACCTGTGGTCCCAGCTACTCAAAAGGCTGAGGTGGGAGGATCAGCGGCGCCTGGGGAGTTGAGGCTGCAGTGAGCGGTGCTGTGCCACTGCGCTCCAACCTGGGCAACAGAGCAAGACTGTCTCAAAAAAAAATGAGGTGACAGGAATCGGGGATGATCTCACCACTTACCTCCCTTGCTCTCGGGGCTCCCCACCTGAAGTCATCCCTGGAGCTGGGGGTTTGGGTTAGATGGATATGGAGAGCTCTGGGTGGGGCAGGAGTCCTTTAGGAGTGAATGGGAACCAATGCCTCCAAATGCCCCTGCCCTCCCTCCACAGAAACCCAGGGGGAGAAAGGTCAGTCCTACTCAATTCATAAGTGGCCATTCTCTCCAGCTTGCACCTGAAGGCTGCCTCTTACCAAGGCAAAGTGGTTTTTATGAGCTTTTCAGAAATGGATCCAAATCTCCAAAGAGACTTTTCTGGTTCTTGGCCAGGCTGGATGATTCCAGCCCAAGATAGCTGCCCCAGCCACTAACGTCCTGGTGGGGTGGGAGGGAAGCAGATGGGAAATGAGTGAATTAGTCCAAGGCTTAGAAAACAATCTGTTCCTGATCCTGAAAGGTGGGACAAGACAAGTTGTGAGAGGCAAGAGGGTTTCCATTGTCCCTAGCTAGGTCCCTGCTGGTCCTGGGAACTCCAGTGCTACCCCTAGGGAAACGGGATGCAGTGGTTGCAGTGAGCCAAGATCGTACCAGCTGCACTCCAGCCTGAGCCAAGAGTGCAAAAAAGCCAAGAGGCCAAAAAGCCTCTGATCCAACCATCCAACCCCAGCTCCCAGCCTCCCGGCAGGCGGCTCACATTACTCTAGGGCTCTATCTTTAGCCTTCCTGGAAAAGGGGACTCCAGCCCCTTCCCTATTCCCAGACTCTCAGAGAAAAGACTCCTCATTCAGTATTCTATGTCCCACACGTGCTGGGCTCCTGTGTGTGCCAGGCTCAGTGCCAGGCACTAGGGGTACAGACATGTGAAGACAGTCTAATAAATATCACCCACTGTCACTCTCTCAACTAGAGAGCAACTCTCCCTTTCAACAGAACTGAGCAAGCCCCACTTCAGAAGTTCAGATTAAGGTCAGAGAGGGAGAAGGCTTTAGCCAAGGTCACAGAGGCTGACGAAGAATGAGAATGTCAATCCACAGTCCTCAGTTCAGGATGCCTGCCCCATCAGCTCATGGATTAAAATGTCTCTGCCCAGGGCAATAACCTCCACCCCTGGACCACATGCCACTTCCTTCCGGGAGGCCCAAGTGCTAAGGCAAGGGAAATCTGGGACAATGGGGGAAGCAAGGCGAGTGGGCGCTAGAGTGGGGATAAGGAGGGGAAGCAGTCCTGCCTTGCATCCTGGGGACCCGCTGTGAGCTCACTCCAGCCCTCTCCTCATCTAGGCTGGAAACATTTCCCGAGATAGAGCAGAGCCAGTAATGTGAAGTCAGACTTTGAATCTTGGTTCAACCTCTTCCTGTGTGACCTTGGACAAGTCACTTAACCTCCTTACATCTCAGTTTCCCCAAATGTAAAACGCGGGAACCAGAGGGAATCATAGTTCCTACTAGTTATGGTGCTTGCGAAGATTAAATGAGATTACGACTGCAGTGATTCAGACCAGCCTTTGAGCCTGAGTTCAATTTCTGGTTCCATCTCTCACTTCCCAGCTGGGTGACCTTGGACAATTTTTTTTTTTTTTTTTTTTTTTTTT